ACCAAGTCTCTCCCTGTTGAAAACTTCTAGAACTTTCAGAGAGGACGTAACTAGATCCTGACGCAGGTACAAATGGACTTTGAAATAGTATTTTTTTTATTCTACCGCCACATTAGTAATGCAAATTCAGCTAAGAAGAATATAGGAAACTTTAAGAAATATGACATCATTATTTTCATTACGGAGGACTACGCAGCCAGGCCTGGATACCCTGAAATTTCACTGCTATATCTTACCCTTCAAACCAGAACACAGTTTACAAGCAAGCAGCTGTTCTTCGTAGACCACTTAGATGATTATGTTCAGTGTCTGTCTATTTATATTCGTTTTAAAATATATACAGTCGACTAGATTTAAAATTTGTACAGTGGTTTAGTCTTAAAATTTGTCACAATGAATTAATTTTAAATAGCTATTGTGATGTAGCTCTGGAAAGCCAGCGCGCGTAACCGTGAGCGATTGATTGCGTTATATTTTTTTTGGTTCACTCTTTAGCGCGTAGTTCCGAGTATATTTCACGTTAATTCATTTACTCTTAAAATGTTTTTTTTTCTCAGATTTATTTTCCAGAGATAAGATTTATTAATTATCAATAACTCTATAACTATGTCTTTGTTCTATAGTTAGAAGTCCGCGATTTTACAATGAAAATAATTAATTTAAAAATAACAGACGTTTAACGTCTGACAGGTTTGAGGAACGCGCGGGAATGCTCAAAGGCGACGAGCGCGGGCCTTCTCATTCTCTTTGTCTAAATTTACATGCACATTATTATCTGCGTGAAAGAGTGTACGTATGAAAGCAGCTTATATTCGTGTTGCAGTGCGGCGACGACGGACGAGGAGCGGCAACAGATGAGCTACCTGGGGCAGTTCAACGTCGGCGACATGGTCAACGTGATGCGGCTCGGCTCACTGGTGGGGCAACACGCAGACACCGCCGCGCCCGTCACCAACCCCGTGCTGCTGGCCACCGTCACCGGCGCCATCTGTGAGTGACACCCCGCTCCACAGCCCCACAGAATCGAACCCACAACCATCGGAAATAAGATGGTGTTCTAAACCGCTACATCATCGAGGCCGGCAAATATCACGCTTTAAGTGTAACACTTCGATACTAATAATTGTCTACTACAACAAAGCTAAATTCATCTAACTAATGTTACGGCCGATTCCCTAATAGATGGCGCTGTTTGATATGACCATTTTAATTTTCAGGTCTAGTTGTTCAATTATCACAAGAACTATACGAATTCCTACACAAACTAGAAGAAAGATTGACCCACACGATAAAATCAGTCGGCAAGATCACCCACGTGTTTTGGAGATCGTTCAATACAGATATAAAGACAGAGCCGGCCGAAGGGTTCATAGATGGAGACCTTATAGAGAGCTTCCTAGATCTGTCCAGGGAGAAACAGCTAGAAACAGTTAAAGGTTTGCAGGTGAGTTATTTTCTAATATATAGTATATATTATACATATTTTAAAAATTTTGCATTTAGTACATCTTACTAATATTATAAATGCGAAAGTTTTTGAGTATGGATGGATAGATGTGTTTGTTACTCTTTCACGCAAAAGCCGCTGAACGGATTTTGATGAAATATACATATGGGGTGAAAAGGCCTTCCATTACTTGCAACATATAGCGCATAGTACATAAGGGGAAAGAGCATTGTTAGTAATGTGTACTAATAGCCCCATTGCTAGCAATGTACCATGTCAGTCAGGTTGACCTACTAAATTTGTGGTAAATTTATCATATTTCCATTAACAACCATAAGAAAATAAGTTGTACGTAGATATTAATATTCTTCATTCATTTAAGAACCACGCTCTTGTCGGCGGAGCTCTTGCCACTTTCCACGATCTTTCATCTTTCTCTTTATATGTTGACATACTTACATATTAAAATTTTAATAACCAAGACGTTAATACAAATTATTGCAGATCGACGATGGTGGCGGCATGAAGCGAGACGCGACAGTTGACGACCTTATCAAGATAGTAGAAGATCTTACTAGAATACATTAGACCGTTATAGTAATTCAGTTGATTTAATAAATACTTTATGTAATACATACGCTGTATTTTATTTCATCTGTGTACTAACTGACATTTAACTATAAACTATTTAATAAACCAAACCGGCTTCGAATCTCTCTGCATTCCCTAAGGTTGGCTGGTATATAATGCTATTAGCATTAAGCCCGTTTATTGTACAAAATTCATTGTAAAAAAAATTGAAAAATTGTAATTGTAAAAAAAATTGTTTTAAATAAATATTGAATTCGAGTTAACATAATTAATAAAAAATCATCGGCTACTATTTCTCATACCCCGAAGTGATAAGGGTTGTTCACCACTAACATTTTATTTTTATTATTTTATGTGCATTAAATTTCCCTAAATTTTCCTCTTCAGTCACTCACAGTCAACCCCCGTTTTTTAATAGCGATTTTAATTTATATGGCAAAACAACGTTTACGGCGCCAGCTAGTAGATACATAATATCCATACTGACGCTCAGATCCATACTTGTTGGTAATCACCCAAATTATACTTGTGAACATAAATGTTTTTTTTTTATTGTTTGAGCATATTTTTTTTAACTCTTAGCTTCTGCGTTTGCGCTTTCGGGTTACGCTCGCATTAGCGGAGAATGTGAAGTGTTTTATTTTAAGACGAGTGATTGGATTTGCGATGTTTTTATTTTTTAGATGATTATATATTAGGAGATGGATTATTTACACTGATGAAATTACGGTTCTTGGTATGTATCCTTTTTTTTTTCCTTTCCTTCCCTTTTACTTTTTTTATTTTTCCGTTTTGCGATTTTTTTTTTAAATTTTTTTTTATATATATATATTTTTTTTTGTTTTATTTTTTTTTATTTTATTTTTGTTTTTGTGTGATTATGAATTAATGAATTATTCGTGATTGCCGGTATGTATTCTTTTTTTTTATTTTTATATACAGTTTTAATTTACAGTTTTTTTTTTATATATAGTATATATACATTTTTTGATACTTTTACAAGATAATTACATGTTACGTTTGATTGTATTGTTTAAGATTGCGTATGATATATTTTATGTGCTCTGAGAAGGTATTTATGGTTGTTTCTTTTTTAATTGAACATAAATGTTTGTACCGCGCGAGGAATCGAGAAATTCATCGGAAATAAGGCGGTGTGCTAAAACTGGAGCACCAGCGCCGTAAAATAAGGTTTTAACATTTAGTAAAACAAGTATTTTTCCGTAAAATTTAATTTAATATTATACAATATTATATACATCCTTCTTGTTTTTTTGTACATAAATTAATCGCCTGCAATATTGCTGGACGAAACTTACAAGGCTTACACTCGCTTTATACATTAATTTTTTTATGCACAACGCAGTATAAATAAATATTACATCTCATTCACTTCAATTATTAATTTGAAAGAAAGTAACATAAAATGCACGTTTTTATAAATAATTTACTAGTTTTACTATTGTATCTGATATAACCTTTACATTAAACATCTATCATTACAAATGCTTCTGAACCCTGTTCTAATGTGGCAAAAACACCATATATTAAATTTTAATTTATATTATGCACTTAGATATTTATAGCTTTAGTCACATAAAAAACCTGAGCGAGAGTGCATCATATTTATTTACCTCCAATTCCAATCCAAAAGGGTTAAAAAAAACATGTTTAAATTAGACATTGCAGGTACACCGCCAGCGGTCTTATTACGTGAAGCGGACTATACGTAATATAAATTAAATTCATAAATTCAGTTTTGAAAATTAATTCTCTTTATGACCCGCGAGCTAGGTCAACATGAGCAATATACAATAGGTGGTTTTCTACAGGGAGGAAATAATTGACTAAAAAAGCTTCTGGCTCGCGGACTATTAGTACAATATGATGGACATAACATCGTTAGTGTTAAAACTTCCGCAACAATACTGCCACGTAACGGTTACAAGTCATTATGTAGATACACACTTTAAGAAAACAGGCAAAGTGCGAGTTGGACATCAATGCAAACGAAGATTATATATTCTTTTTAATAAAATTTTATATAATTATGATAGACAAATCCTCTGCAACATGAATGTAATAAGGAATCTTATGTTTTGACTTTTTAAAATTCACTTTACATTTCATTGGAACCATTGAGCAGATTCAAACTTGAACAGTTTTAAAATCAAAGAACAATATAAGTTTTAAATACCTTATTCTACAAATCAAATTTAATGAGAAGTCTACTAGACGACTCATTACTTGAAATAAACATATAAATAAATTATATTTCATATAACAACTACATAACAAATTAACTAAATGCATTATACTTGTGACCTATAAAGTACCAAACTATACTAAAAGTAAATAAACATTTTTATCTTATATGTATATAAAGCGTCACGCACACGAACGTTGTGTTCTTTAATGACTACTAAAAGCGATACAGAAAAGAGAAAAAAGTGTCAAATTTACAACAGACAACAGTACTAGTATTTGTCGAGGTTTTTAAGGCCGATCAAACAGCTTCTTTATTGCTATAGTACGTAGCAGTGGCCTCCCGACATACAGTTCCTCAAAAATGCTTCTGAAAGGGCTACTTATGTAGTCACTACTCTATACACATGTTTTAAATTGCAACTAAATCCGGTAAAGGGACTCCAATGTACTATACTATAATATTAGAATTTTTTCTAATATCTATAATTTTATATAGTAATTGATCTTCTTTACCAAGAAACACGCGAGATGTGCACACTATAAGAACGGGGTGTACTAATACCAATTTCTAATAACTGCACCAGTAATGGAAGGTTCTAATTGTGTGGATGACGCTTAATACACGCAGACCTTTTTTAACTCTATTTGTTTAAAGATTTTAAATACAAATATGAGTAAGGTCATTGAGTTTGTCTATCAAAAATGTGTACACGATATTTGCACGTGATCGTAAGGAGTATATTACATACGTTAGTTTTCGAGTATATCGTCTTTGCATTTTCCACAAGTTCTTTCGAAACTCCTGTGAGAAGAGAATGTATTATGACTATATAACATGTAAGATTTATAATGGAAATAGTCTTCAGAATGGGACTTTAACATACTGGAATGATTAAATTACAGTTCCATTCTAAACAACATGTGTTTTAAAAAAGACTTTAAATTCCAACACTTATACATTCCTAATTAGCTCTCAATATAGATAGCAAATAGTGCATAGTAATGAGTGCACGGTAACATTTTTCATGCGTTTATATAAAATATTTGTACTAATAATAATTAAGTTACATATACATGTAACTTAATTATTATTAGTACAATACAAATGCTTGCACGCTAAAGTGACCACTATTATGCAAAAGTTAAGTATAAAAAGTGTGTCTATCTCACCATTTCATGACTATACGGCTAAAGTATTAAGAATTTTAACAATGCTTTAGAACTGCAGTAAGTTCTAGACAAGCCAATATCATGTCATTTAAATAACGAAATATGTTGTAAGTGTATAAAAAGGCACATGCTATGTGCAATCCAATGTTATTGGATAGAAATTAGTCACTAGAATAGATTGGCTGGTCTTAATAGGTCGTTAGGAATCATCTATTATTGTCTATTACCGTATTATGCACCTACTTTCTGTACTTGTCTGCTTTATTACGTAGGAACCACATTAAAGAAAAGAGACAAGCTGGCGGGCTGGTCAGTGGTCCCGGCGAGTTGACCATGGCCTCTATTTCGGGGATTGTTTTCTCTACCACTTCTATTATTTCATCGTCCACACCACCACCTGAAGAGCACAAAGAAAATTGAGTTTAGGTTACGTGAACTGTTTGTTTTTGTAGTGATGTGACCAAATAACCTTGAAACAGCGCCGTTTGATGTGGTTTGAATTTTAAAAACTATATATGTACTTCAGTTCAAAGTTACATCGCCCATTCGATCTGCGCAAACTTTAAGCGGCCACACTGTACTTTATTAGCAATTACAACACTAATTAAGAGAAGATGAATTGATTATGAATAACTAAACTAGTCCTTGACTAACTGTAAAATCAACACTGAAAAATCTTTATAATTACTGAAATGTATATAGATATGTAAAACTTATTGTGAACATTTGAAATGTTTTATTTATATACTAGTTACCCGCTCTGGCTTTGCACATGTGTACATGTATTATACATATAAACCTTCCTCTTGAATCACTATCCATTGTTAAAAAGTGCATAAAATCTATTAAAATATCTAAGCAATTAGACAGACCTCTTCATTTATACTATGTGAAGATGTGTATAATGTATAATACAACATGTTTCTATGTCTGTTGGACATAGAAACATTTTGTATTATACATGTTATATTATATGTGATGAAGGTCTTAGGACACAAATCATAGTAGTGATGTTCAACTTACCTTGTTCTGTTTTCATATCATCAGTCACTTCACAATAGTATAGTGTTTGGAGAGCTCCCTGTACACCAACACCAGACCTAAAAAACAAATAAACAAAAATTATTATGAATAATGGTACTACTAGCACTGGACATAATAAAACTGTTTGAACCTTCTTTGAAGGTGGAGAAAATATTTTATGAAATTAGCCTGTGGTTCTGGAGCTAGTATTATAAGTACAAAGTGTATTACTTTGTCATAATGCAAATTGCATAAACTAACATTATACATTTTATACAATTTTTCCCACGAATTTGTGATATACATATAATTTATATTGCAAAGCTATGCAGTGAGTATTAGAGAAATTATACATATGACTCGGAACAAACATGAACTATATTAATTTAAAAATTATATATTGACGACCTCGGTGGTCTAGCGGTCTAACACACCGCTTTACGTCCGATGGTCGCGGGTTCGATTCCTCGCACGGCACAAACATTTGTATTCATGAGTATGATTGTTTGTGTCGGTCTGGGTGTTTTCTATGTATATTATGTATGCATTTACAAAAAAAAAAATATCTATGTATTTGTATCAGTTATCTAGTACCCATAACACAAGCTTTAGCTAGCTTAACTTGGGTCTAGATGGCGCTGTGTGAATTGTCCTGAGATTATTATTAAAAATTATATATATATATATATACATATATATTCGAGGACATTTTCTCAAAATGGTAACAGTAAGTGTAAATGGGTTAAATATTTACCTGTATGAAGTAATTTTATGCAAATCTTTGAGCTCAACATTATATCCACACTCTTCCAGCACTTCCTCTCTTGCAATCTCATCTATCGACTTATTCTTGTCTATGATACCCGCACACATCTCTAATGCAACACCCAATGATGCTGGATACTTATTTGTGTCTATAAAGTCTGCCTGTCTATCTTCAGGTTTTATACAGTTATAGTAAATAGCTGAAATTAAAGTAAAAATCAAAGACTAGTAGATTAAGAAACTTATTTCATTTTATATTGTATGTGTCAGCTCCAATATTATTTTATTTGCTAAATTCAAATCAAGTTAGACAGACATGTAAAAAAAAGATAGTTTTAGGATACATAATACTGTCTACTAATAAACTATTTGATATTACATAAAGAAATATTGTTTTCAGACCACAATGGTGGAAATTAAGCAAAAGCTGATAGAAATGGTAACCATAAACTATGAACACAAATTACTCTCCTGGCAAAACTTCCTGTTCATTCCACAATATCAAGGTTTATTAGCACTAATATTAAGACTATGACTAGAGTGGTAACCTTCCTTGTTTATTCTATCACTCAGAAAAATATTAAAAGTGTTAAATAAATAATAGTCAGTGTTTGTTTTGTATTGTGTACCTACTCGCCCGGTCTCTAAAACCTCAGTGTCCGAGAACACTATAGTATATATGGTAGGAGCTAAGATGTGGGTATGAATTCCCTGTCGATGGCGAGCTGTGCGATGGTAAAAAGTAGCTATGAGCAATAGTATAGGTTAAAATAAAAACACTTAATACCTGGTCGAAATTGCTTGACGAATATCATAACCCTTCTTGTAACATTAAATACTATAATTACCACACTATCGTGAACCTCTAGTATGTCCCAAGTCTTTTTCATGCCGTTCTGAGTGTAATTAAACCTAAATGGTTTTACGTAAGGGGAATCAGGCAGTGGACTGAAAAAAACATCCTTAACATCTTCCATTGTATTCAAACTTGTACCTACTTGGACCTCTATAATATAAATATAATGGCAATTAGATTAAAAAGTATGATGTATATTATTTATTCTATAATTTTCTTTATGCCAAAAAAATATTCAATTCTAAATTTTCCTGTGAATTTAGTGTTGTGCTTGACACATACTCATAAATCGATTATAAATTATTATTTATCGATTATATGTTCAATTCAAAGATAATCAATGATATTCAGAACGATATTACATTATCATCTGCTTCTTCTATCACACATTCAATTGGGGGTCAGCGTAATATGTTTTTCTCTTCTATTCATCCCTCTTCGCACTCATCTTAACGAGATGACTACGAACATCACAGAACACCAATATCCTATTCACTGCCGTTCTTGCCATAATTATATTAAGGCTAGAACGGCAGTGAATGCTTTCTTTCATTTTTCATTACCAATATTTCATTAAATTTTCTTAATCCTGAAAAGAAGAATCGTAATGTGAAGCGATTTGAAAACATGATAATTTATATTACATTTAAAGGAATATGTATTTTACTAATTATTTTATATAGGAAATATTATGCGGTAAGTGTTCAATTAATTTATTTTTAATGGTTTATTAGTAATACCTGTGGTAATACATAATCGTTTATCGTAACAATAAATTTAGTACCTCACTATGTCAATTAGTGTTACATAGGAATGTCATAGCTGTACAGACCGAGTGTTATTGCCTTTCCTAAAACGGGAAAAACGGAACCAAAATAAAAAGGATGTCATTCTAAGTCAGTCAGCACATCATTACTTGTGCTACCCTGTATGCTGTATTTCGACTTGATTTTGACGCAAGCTGACTGTTGAATGACGGACTAATATTTTTATTTAATATTGTTATCTCTTTCCATTTCGTATTTAATATTATTTATTTAGCTGATATATTCGAAAATTTCTGTATGTGACCAAATTCTTTCTGTAAGGTACGCCTGTACCTGTATAAATAATCTATTAAAACAAATGCAAACCAATGAATAGGTATGGCGAAACAAGAAAAAAATACGAAACCTGGATTTGTAATCAAACTTTCATGTGAGACTGTTCAAAAATTATCAGAAGAAGACCAGCAGTCTAAAGGGCCAAGTAATTCTGAAATTTCTGAGCAGCATACAGATAAAATACAAGTTAGCAAAGACAACGAGAAGTCCGATCAGGTAGAAAGCAATTTAAAGGTTATTACGCAGACAGATGTAATAAATAAAGTAAATCAGGATACTACGTCAAAGGTAAAGGACAAAAACCTCAGTAAAAGTATTGAAAATGTACATAGTCCAGTAGAAAAAGATAAAACTGCTACAGATAAAAAAGATGCTACAGCATGGGGTGAGTACGCTCCATACATTACTTACGAAGGTGCAGTAGCTACTTATACGGACCCAACAACACAACAAAAATATGTATGGGATGAAACCAGTACTTCCTGGACCCCTAAAAGTGGACAAGAAGTACCAGGGAGAACATACAGCTATGAGAATGATACACATGTTTACACAGAGCAAGATGGGTCTAAATTCTTTTGGGATGACCAAAAAAAGGCATGGATACCTAAAGTTGACGATGACTTTTTAGCCTACTACCAAATGTCATATGGTTTTGTTGATAACACTACTAAAGAAGAAAGTAAAGAGGATGCAACAAAAAAAGAGGCACAGAAGAAAGCTGAAGCCGGTTTAAAAAGGAAAGTTGAGCCACAGTGGTTTGAAGCTTCTGAGGAGACAAATACAAAGGTGTATGTATCAAATTTGCCATTGGATATAACAGAGGAGGACTTTGTTAATTTCATGCAGAAATGTGGTCTGGTGGAACGTGATGTGAGTACACAGAAAATGAAGGTAAAATTATATATGGATAAAGAACAGAATTGTTTCAAAGGTGATGCATTATGTACATACATAAAAATAGAATCTGTAGATTTAGCTCTGAAATTATTAGATGGCAGCGATTTCAATGGCAATAAAGTTAAAGTGGAAAGGGCTCATTTCCAATTAAAAGGTGATTATAATCCTGCTCTTAAACCCAAGAAAAAAGAAAAAAGAACTTGAGAAAATAAAAAAAATGCAGCAGAAGTTGTTTGATTGGCGCCCTGAGAAGTTCCTAGGTGAACGGTCAAAACATGAGAGGATAGTGATAGTTAAGAATCTATTTCAGCCCACAGACTTTGATAAAGATGTACAATTGATACTTGATTATCAGCAAGACTTGAGAGAAGAATCTGCAAAATGTGGTGAGGTACGTAAAGTGGTCATCTATGATAGACATCCAGAAGGAGTTGCTCAAATCACCATGAAGGAACCAACGGAAGCCGATGCAGTAGTCCAGTTGATTAATGGAAGATGGTTTGGTAAGAGGCAAATTACAGCTGAAATATGGGATGGAAGGACTAAATATCGAATTGCAGAAACAGATGCAGAAATAAGTAAGAGAATAGACAAATGGGATAAGTTTTTGGAAGGAAAAGATAGTCAGAATAAAGAAGGCACTCCAGAAGAAAAAGCTAATAAGGATAAAGAAAGCAATGCAAAATCTGATACAGTAGTCTCACCGAAACAGTTGAAACTAAAGAGACAGCTTAGTTGTATTAAGTTTCAAATACCTAACGTCTGTACATTTATATTATATTAAGAGTACCTTGCATCAGTGCATTACACTGTATTATAATAGTACATTAAAATAATTAATCACAAAATATATTTCATTTCAATAATATTACACTATCTACATGTATATTTAGCTACTCCTATATATGTATATTTAGTCCGCAGATACATGACGTCCCGGTTCATCCTACTTGGTGAATTCGCCGTAATGCAGTCACCAACCAGATATCCATCTCCTATTATGCACCATTGATGTCCTCTCAGTGTCAATGATATAGATAGTGCAGGCGAATGCACCATTTCAAAAGGTGGGCGACAAAGGTGGCTGTCATTTCTATTAAATTTAATGACCGTAGAAACCGCGGCGCAATGGTTACATAAATTGTTATATTTATAATAATAATTCTATAATATAACATGTATGTTTTGATTTAATAGAAAACCGGTCTAGTGCGATTGGGATTTTCTCACAAAGTTCCGAACAAATTAACCGACTTCTAAAAAGGAGATTCCATGTCCGATATCTACATTCATAGATATCTTCGTCAATGGTAGACACATGGAATATTGACCATTTTTTTTTTTTTTTATATCATATTTTGAGCGCGTTTATCTCATGATGTTAATGATGATAATTGTTACGCAAGCTCAAATAATACCTATTCACTCTTGACTTAAAAGACCCAATGTTGTAAGAGGCAGGAAAAATAGACGCTGGTAGAGTTCCACTCCTTAGCTGCTCGCATAAGGAAAGATGATGCAAAACGGTTAGTTCGAGCAGCTGGGATGTCAATAGTGTAGGGGTGGAGCCGCTCTCTACGTCTTGTTGTACGTTGATGGAACGGTGCTGGAGGACTGAGGTTGTGCAGTTCTTGAGCACATTCGCCAAAATGGAGCCTATAGAACACCGATAGACAAGCTACTTTACGTCGGTGATTAAGACTTTGAAGCCTCTTAGCTACAAGTGATTCGTCCCCGATAAGTCTCCTTGCTCGTCTGTCGATTGAGTCTAGAGCGTCAAGTTGGTACTGAGCGGATCCATCCCATAAGTGGGAACAATACTCCATGCAAGATCGGACCTGTGCTTGGTATAGCGTTAAAAGCTGTCCAGGCGTGAAGTATCTCCTAACCCTTGAGAGGACGAGTTTTTTTGATGCCGTTTTATCTAGATTCAATATACCGAAATTTAGGTTGGATGATATTTCTGTTGTTTATTGTCCATATACTGCTGTGAGAATATTCACACATGAAAAAAAAATACTAGTAGTAAATACAATGTTTTGGTTGAGATTATAATACCCCAATTTCATTACTAAAAGATAAGAACAATATGGTATGATGTTTACTGCAATGTATTACGATTAGATATGTATATTATTGATTGTAAATTATCTTTATTGATAATACAATTAAAACATAATATTTAAAGACTAAAGCATATAGTATACGCATTCTACAAATATGAAAAATATATTATGTGAAAAATGAAGAGTGAAAACATGAAGACGAAATTAAGTCACTTAGCCTATGGTGGAAATTTCATCTGTAAATGGTTTTCAGACAAGCCGTATGGAGGTCGACTTCATAGGATACATTGTTCATACTAGTAGGGCCAATAGACCTCGAATGACAATGCCCTGCCCTCCAAACTGAGGTACGAAGCAAAATAATATATACTTATCTAGATAAAATGGTGTGATATGTAATAGGCAAATAATAGAAATAGATGCTAGATATTAATAATTAATGTTTTTTTTACAAATGTATTTAAAATATAGATGGGCACCGTTTTACCATATTTTTTGAAAACCCCACTATAGAAAACTAATCCATAGAGACGTAAAACTTAAACGGAATTCATTGTCTGTGCAAATATAATGCTCAATTATCATAGACAACTTACCGTCATGTCATGTCTGACACCTGACTTTACGTTGCAACTAAATATTTGTCTATTTCGTTTCGGTATTTCATAATTTATATTTGATGAAAACACACATTACAGCCTAAACTTATGAGTACTCGAATGAAGATATATTACAACAGTTTGCGAAATATGCTAATTGAGAACACGCTGGGATTTCCAAGCCCACACTTCGGCTGAGTTGTCAAGCTTTTACGGTGCTTCTCAGGTTGTCTCCATGAATTATATCCGGATAATATGATAACATGGCTGTTCAACCTGACTCTGGCGGGAAGGATGATGTGAAGACACAGTTCGTGACGCGGGAAGGGACCTATCGCCTGATGACACTTTCAGAGTATTCTAGACCCAACCGGGTGGGTTATACTAGTGGGTCGGGTTCTTCTCACGTGCGCGTGTCACTGGTATCGCTGCCGCCGGGACCTGGAGGAGGAGCACCCGGCTCCGACGGCCAGGGGTCGGATGATCGGATATGTTTCAACCATGGCAAAGAACTTTATGTTTATGTGTACAGAGGTGTTAAAAAGGTAAATTCAACTTATATTATGTGCTAAATAATAATACATTATTTTATAAAATAATTTACAACAATGTAATACATGACATGTAATGTGGAAATATCCATTAAATATCTAAAGATGGAGATATTGTCACTATATGTAAACATGGATTAATAATTTTCATCATATGTAAAGATTTAATATAATAATAATAATTTATTACTGATAAATTTCAGTATGTTGATCAATCTCTAATACTAAATAGTAAATTAATTTTTATGTTAGCCTTTTATGATATGGAGTGTAAAATAAGAACAATGTGGATGATACATGAATGGACTGTATGTTTGATATGAATTAAGCAATGTATAGAAAATGGTAAATACTTATAATTTAGGTATGGCAATTTTAAATCATAAGAAAAAGACATGCAGAAGACATGACAAAATAATTTATACATCTATATATATAAATGTCTGTTTGTAATATTGAAATAACTGTTTTTTACTATGCATATGAATATAAATATGGTACAGCTAGTATTAAAATTGTGTAATGAATTTGCAATAAGCATATCTATAGTATTATAAATCAGTAAAACATATAAATAAGCAAATGCATTATATTACAATTATATGGTGCACTGGCCTGTGTTAACTGTATATGTTAATAGTGCTCTAGTGGATGATGATAGCATGAGAATGGAGTCAGGTCTACATTAGCTCATTGTGGCGAATATAAGGTATTAATAACAATGTCGCTCACACTTATGTAATTATATTAAATCTGTATATATTAATAACCTAAAACAAATCACACCATTTAGTTCCAAGATAAGCAGAGCTTGTACTATGTGTAATAAAATAGAATAGATATCTGTACCATGAGCAGGTAGGTAAGAGCCTCCTCCATCTTTTCCCAACCCATCTATCCATGGCAGTTTGCATCCTGTCTTTTCCTACATTTTTTATATCATCAGTCCATCTTTTTTCTACCGTCCTACTGTATTAACTAGTATAAATTGTATATGTTTCCGCAGGCAGCAGATCTCACAAAACCAGTAGATAAGAAGATGTATAAAGGCACGAATCCGACATGCCATGATTTCAACACTGTCACCATGACAGCAGACAGTGTATCACTAGTTATAGGATTTTCTACCGGCCAAATACAACTAATAGACCCTATTAAGAAGGAATTAAGTAAATTGTACAATGAAGAGGTGAGTAAAAATAATCATCATAATTTTTTTTCTCTATTCATTGTTCACTATTGTATATCACAGACTTAGATAGACAGATAATACATTTGTTTGTGTGTAGAGCACACATAAGGTACAGTAATATAAAGAGATAGATGCACAGTAAATACATTAGGCAGTTAACAATATATAATATAGGTGCAAATAATGTGTCAGTAACATAGTGTGCGTGCATCTCCAATAAGAAAAAAACATTTGTACCTCAGTGTATTGTTTATGGTTTGCAGTAAACTACTAGTTTTGCAGTTCACTGCTCAAGCAGAAAATAGCTAATTTTAAGGTATTATCCAGAGACATATGTGAGAAATGAACCTGAATCAACTAATGAATAAAAAAATCAACTAAAAACACTAATGAAGGACAGGATAGTAGATTACGTTTTCTGTTTATGCATTACTTCATATAATCCATGCAAATTTCTTTGGTAAACCCCACCTATTATATGCTTCTATTGTAATATAAATTTTTTTCTTTAAAACATGATTTCTCTACTTTGGCGTGATACATCCATATCAAAATTATCTATTATTAAATCTATGTCTGTTAAGATATAATGTATAATTTGATGTTATTAGTTTTTCTACCAATCAGATTAATATTCATATGATTAAAGAAATATTACAATGTCTACTATAGATATCATAACAGTAAACCTTAAGGGTATGTGAGATATTGACAAATTATTGCAATAAATTAGCTATTCTGTTGTGTATTAATGAATCATTTGATATTATTGTTTCAGAGACTGATCGACAAAACACGCGTAACTTGTATCAGGTGGGTACCCGGTTCAAGTAACCTTTTCATCACGGCACACGCGTCCGGACAATTATACGTGTATAATGAGGAGCTGTCCTGTGGAACCACGGCGCCGCATTACCAGCTCTTCAAACAAGGCGATGGTTATTCCATACACACTTGTCGAACAAAGTCCACTAGAAACCCACTATACAGGTGGGTTATAGGTGCCGAAGGTAGCTGTATAAATGAATTTGCGTTCTCACCCTGTGGAACTAATCTGGCTGTAGCATCACAGGATGGCTTCTTAAGAGTATTCCATTATGACACCATGGAGTTGATCGGCAGAGCGAGATCTTACTTCGGAGGGTTTTTATGTGTCTGTTGGTCTCCAGATGGAAAATACGTAGTAGTTGGAGGCGAGGACGATCTAGTTACTGTTTGGTGCTTCAGTGAAAGGAAAGTGGTAGCACGTGGACAAGGCCACAGATCGTGGGTTTCGGTGGTAGCGTTCGACCCTTACGTGGTGAGTTTCACGGATCCCGAGAGCGACGAGGGGGTCGAAGATGATAGACAAAAAAGTGAGAGTGTTCAGTGTTACAGACTAGGTAGTGTATCGCAAGACACGCAATTGTGCTTGTGGGACTTAACGGAGGACGTACTGAGGCCGCCGGTACGAGCGCGGGCGTCAGCCCATCTCTCGCCTAACAGTCAGACCTTTTCTCCGAACGGTGTACCCGGTATGAAAGTGCCGGCGAAAGGGGCGAAATCTAATAAAATAGGTCACAAACACGCAGAACTGAGCGGGCAAAATAATCCTTCTGGCGAATCGTCGGGAGCTAAACAACCTGCGAAAACGAAAGTGAATAACGTGTCTACTTTGAATATAAGCGTGGGGAAAGCGAAGGAGGAGAGTTCGGGTTCCCTCGGCGTTAACTCGTTGACGCAGCGGCTAGCGGGGTTTTCCTTCGGAGACCGCCGTTCGGAGCATAGACGGAACTTCAGTCTGACGAAGCCAGCCGAGCAGAAGTCGTCTGCGTCGAACACGGTCGCACTTAGAGGCAAATCGGCCGGGGCTCCGACGAATGACCCATTCGATCCGTTGAAGCTGATAGGCACGGCCTCGTGTCCGAGGTTCGATGAGTGTCCGGTACTGGAGCCGCTGGTCTGCAAGAAGGTGGCCCACGAGCGATTGACCGCGCTACTGTTCCGCTCGGAGTACTTCGTGACGGCGTGTGCGGATGGCTGCGTTAACACGTGGGCGCGACCCGCTCGTTCCCTCAACGGCGAACCGCGCCCTCTCAGACGCTTTGAGAAGATCGACCTGGTTGACTAGTCTCCTGTTTCAGATCATAGAGGAATAAATGCAGAGTGACAGCTTTTTAGGCAGTGCTCATTTTGGGAAGTTGTAGTAGTAAAAAACGAAAATTGAACATTGATTAATGTTCATATTTTTCATTATGTTTTGTTAGATTAATACAACTTTTCATATTGAGCTACTGTCCAAGCTTGCATTCTGTATATGTCCTCTGTGGTCAGGCCGTCTCCCGTGTAACATGGCGTTGTCTATTCAAGAATGTTTCTATTACGAAATATCATTACAACGAAACTTAATGAAAGAAACATATTTTTAGTGTAAATTTCATTGGATCGGTTTCTTACAGAGCATTTAGATTGTATTGTTTGGTAAATGCATCTTGAATAGACAAAACTTTTATATGTTGTAGTTATTTTTAAAATATCATTATTTTACCGAAAAGAAGTATATAAGTATATACTTCTGCCATTACTATTGTATAAGTGTACATTTTGGGAGTAAATAAATTTCTTCATATTAATGAGATTAATACTGTTTGTTAGTTAAGGTCCTCATTTGTACTGAAAATATATTTTAAAAATAATTACACACTAATGTTATATTGTTTGGAAGGCCTTGTACGGTAATAATACAGAGATAATAGAGAAATAGAGTAATTGAAAATATGAAGTTTTGTGTAATAAATTATTCCATATTAGAAAGGTTGTTGGTTTGTGAGTGCATGTGTGTATGTGTATTTATAAGTCTCTAGACACCTCCTGTGTTTTTATATCACGTACAAATCAGGTATGAAAAATTAGGAATAATGTTTGAGATATAAAAGATCGTTTGAAAGCTTTTATTGTCAATATATTTGATTATAAATACAGGAGAGATCTGGAAGTGGAAAGTTTGAAGTTATTGTTTCTTATTGTAATATTATAGCGATTTTAGGGGCTTTAATTAAATAATTGTTACTAACAATTTTCAATTAAAATAAATACATTCATGTACTGACAGTTGCAATTGTTAACCATATAACTTAGCTTACATATATCTGTAACTCATAAATAGATCGTAGAAAATAGCAAAATCCTTTGATTTTAATCTTGATCTAACATACTGACGAATGGCATCTAAGTCCTCGGTATGGCAATGCGTTATGATGACGGTCTTTACACGATGTAGATTTCCGAGGTGCTGTCAGATTGTTTGCCATTCAAATTAAATTAAAAAGATATACACATGAGAATTGTTAGCAACGGTGATAATTAATTGCTAATCGCTATAGCAATGAGATTGTACTGTATTGTATAGAGGGGTGTATATTGTAATTATTAAGGAGAATTTCCTTCGGCTCACATATGTACATATAGTTAGGATAGAAGCGATCAAAGATTGCTCGGATATCGCAAACGCACTTATGTGCTTTTCATTGTCTTTGAAAACTATTTATTTAATTTTTCTTTAATCAATTTGAATGTTGTTGTGACGGTTGACGCGTCTGTAAGACTTGCTAAGTTTTATTGGAGCATTACGGTGCATTTCTGATTTGGTCGATACGTCTTCGTTCATCTACTGAATATCTAGTTTCAGAATTAAAATTAGTATTTATTCTTGTAGGTCTATTACATATACTTAGAGAATCAAATCTAACGTCACATCAGATTAGTTTCGAACCAAGAAATTACTCATTCAGACCTTACAAATGAGATTGTACACAATTACAAAAAATAACATTCCTGTATAAATAAAAGTCATGGAGATTGTAGTGAGTGACTACAAGCATATGCTATTACATTGTTGTCAAAATAAATAATTACAGATACCCCACAGATTTATTTCTGTATCGCAACGAAATCACACTGACCAAGTCAGGAAGGCATCCTAATATGTGAGAATTGTGTATATTGTTATTAAATTCAGCTATATTAGTTACTAGTAGGTAGCCTAGTAAAATTGTTTTATAGACAATACCGTGTCTACGGTACGGACAGCTTTCTATGTAGATATGATGACTTGCTTAACATAATCTCTCATGAGAGGGAAACAAGCTTTAGAGCCTGTCTGGTGATGCCTAAGTTGTATAGACTCCTGTAAAACCCTTTTTTTATCATGTTGAAAAATCTTTAAAAGACCGTACCCTCCTGCCAGATTTGTGAGAAGCTGGTGTGTGGGATACTCACAAAACAGCACGGTGTGCCGACGAGCACCATTGTCAGAGTGGTAAGGTTGCGTTAACATTCTACCGCGACTCTGTGTATTGACCCAACGTGTAGATGGTGTAGGATCTCGCTAGGGCGCCGCCCTACTCAAATGTGGAAGCATGTAGATACGCACTACACCTCCAGGGCCATTTTATTTGACGCCTGCAACACTGGATGGAATGAGATTTATTTACTGCCAATGTCAAGTCAGTTTTGGACGTGACATGGCAGAATAATAATTTTCTCTAGTCCTGTTTAGAAAACACATGCAATTACTATTATTATTCTATCAAATGCCTGGATAACTTCGTCTTAATACAAACTCTATGGTAGTTTATTCCTCGTCTGGCAGCTTCAGTGAGGTGCAGGACTCACTCTATATTAGGCACTAGGCTTCCACCACTAGCCCCTTCATTCTTTATTGAAACTGTTGGTCTCCTAGTCTTTATGGCTTTGGACGTGTATTTTTGTAAGGCCCATTGTAGGCGTTTTTGTTGAAATATGAATATAATACATATATCTACATAGATAAAATACATTTCTCCTTGTATTATTAAATTATTATTGTAATTTAACAATTATAGTTACTATTATTTATGTGTATTACGTATAACGTTTTATGTTCTAAGTATAAGTATATAGCAGTCGTTCCATGTTTTGTTGAAAGAATACAATTTTTAATGTTGAATTTATGCCTACACTCCGCTTGCTGTGGCATGGTGCGGATGACAGATATTTTTTAAATTATAGTACGGTATTGTATGAGATTTTTAAAGTCCATAAAAACCTAGTATTCATAAGTTCTGAATTTATATTTGTTGACATACTCTATAAAACTACTACTAACGTGGTGGATAAGTTATTGGGCTACTTAAAATTTCATCTGCAATCATTTTCATGCTGACTCATTCACCATACTCGTTAATGGATGCTACTTCCTGGTTGTACTTGAGGGATTGCTCTGCTTCATTAACTGCAATTGATTACTTTTGTTACTGTAATTGTATTACTTAATAGTTTGTATTCTTACGAAATACTTTTTGACCATTTTCCCACAAATATATATTATATATGAATAAAAATAATAATAAATACTATTCCGAAGTGTTTAAAATTAACAAAGATTTCTATTTCAATTGTAAACCCATGTTTTAACAATTTTTATGTCTGTCACCCGTACTATTCTCTAATGTTGGGATGGAATGATGATACCATTAATGAATTATTCGTAACTTAAAAGCATTTTAATTTCTGTTCGTATTCAATATTTATAAATATAAATATTTAATATGAAAGTAATGAAAATTTAAAGGGTTTTTATGCAGGAATGGCGTTAGTTTTAGATCTCATAATGTTTTTTAACATGATTTATAATGTTCATAGGAATATATTCCTAAAGTTCCAATAGTTTAATGTGATTTCAATTACATTTAAAAACATCTTCAGAATTATTATGTTTGACACAATAATAATAGTACTTTGGACAAATCACGCAGCGCCATCTCGTCCCAAGCAATGCAAATGTCCAAACCAGCCTATATGGCTTATGTTAAGGGTACTGAACAACTAATAGAAATACTTCGATACATTTGTTTGTAAATACATAAGATACACGGAAAACATCCACACCGATACAAATCATATTTATGAATATAAATGTTTATAATGTGCGAGAAATCGAACCCGCGACAATGGGATGTAAGTTGGAGTGGTAAACTGCTATAGCACCGATGTCGTCAAACTTATGTTTCACAATCCAATTTATTAGCATAGAAAATATATTATATACAGGTATATTTTTCCATAATTACTGGAATCGCTGCTGTATATAAGTTATTCTATAAAACAACTGTTTATTGTGGCCTTATTTTATTTATTTATTCCTTATATTAATCTCTTAATTATGAAATTTTATTCAGCAGAACCAGTATATAAAGAGTTGCGTGTATATTGTTAAAGAATTTAATACCCAATAAATATATTGTATTTTTATTACAATTTGTTAAATCACTTCATATACTTCAGTGGGTATTATTAATATATTTTTTAGTATAATCACGTCAACAAACTTGTTTGCTTGAGACGGAAATGTGTAATATCTAGATAAACATATACAAAAGTCTTAAAATATACACAAATAAAAATCGTTTTAGTAGTTTTATTTTCACACTAGCGACCCGTCTCGGCTTCGCACGGATGTATCACTAATTTTAGAATTTCTTGAATCACTCTATCCATTGTTGAAAACTGCATTAAAATCAGTCGCGTACCTTAAAAGATATATGTGAACAGAGCGGTGGCGATTTTATACTATGTAAAGATAGCAATGTAAATTCCGTTTATTTGTTATTAGTTAAATTTTTAATACTTGTAGAATTATTTCTGGTACCGTAATGCTACGTTTACATTCAGCCGCTTCCTCTGCCACTCGCGCTGCCGGAAATATTGCCGGGCGACAACTAAAGCGGGCTGAATATAAAAACACGCTGCCAGTCCTTTGACTCGCGCACGAAAAACCGACAATCGAGGGAGCGCCGGGCAACGCGAGTGGCATGGGAAGTGTTTCCACTCTCGCGCTGCTCACTTCCCTGCCCACTGGGGCTGAGTGTAAATTGGGCATTAGAAGTAGAACTTGTACAAAGTTAAGTAATTCTACTATAAATTTATTATTGATTAAATCACGATAGTTTTGGGCGTTTGAAGTGTGGGATCGAGATGTACTTAGTCAATCACGGGGGGGGGGGCGTTTGAAGGGGGGGGGGGGGGGTCGACCTGACGAAGTATATTAGCAACACGCCCACTCTTCTTCACACTAACAATACCTTCTCTTCCCCATATATATTAACAACCCTCTCTAGCGCATGTCTTTCACTTGACATATGAAATATGACAGCACAATTACAGGATACAGAAGCATGACTCATATCCTCCAGAAGAGTAAACAATAAGTTGTACCACCGGACCTCACGTCATCACGCAACAGATAACAGCAAAAATAAAATAACGAAATGAAATTGTAACTAAATTTATTGACTAATCAGTAATTGTAAATCAAAATCCTGGGTCCCAAGAAGTGCGGTCGCTTGCGTCTACCATTTTGTAGCATATTATAGTATCCCCTGGCTTTACTTCGAATGTCGCGTCCTCGAAGCGCAGCCCGCATTCCATGTCGCGTTTTATCGTATTCGTCTCGTCTTTGAGATGTTTCATTGATACTAGTTTACCTGTGAGGAAAAATATTTATTTATTATGAAATACTAGCTGTACCCGCGTCTTCGTCCGCGTAAATAATGAAAAAATGTTTAAATACCTCACTCAATATAAGTCAAAAGTCCATAAAATTCAAACAACAGCTTAAAAAATAAGTTTCAAGCATCTAACTTTAATATACCTATCTAATCTGAGGATACCTCTATACAATCTTGCAACCCTTTTTCTTTCTTTTTTTATTTAATCAATAGGCTAAAAAAGAAATTTCAAGCTTCCAGCTTTAAAAATGATGATACATCTATATAACCTTGGATCTACCTTTTCAATCCTCTATTTCACATTAAAAAGCAACCTATGTTCTTTCTCAGGATCTAATCTATCTGTCTGTCTCAAATTTCAATTTAAATCGGTTCAGTGGTTTTGACGCGAAAGCGAGACAGACAGACACAGATTTATATATATGTTGCGATGGTGAATAAGTAACCAACTCAACATAAAGCTACAGAACAACTACAGCGTTGACATTCTGTTGACTCCTACATGTAAAAAAATATTCAACTTAATGCTAAAATGTGTCTCTCAGTTACCTTTTATCGATAGAATGGCTTAATGGATGTTAATGAAATTTGACGTAATAATTCAGGTGAAAGAATATAGATATTTATCTAAACACTGATTTTTATTTGTATAAATACACTAAGGAGCTAGATTGCTGGCCTGTGAGACTGACGTGAAGTTAAGTTACCTTCATACACGACTTGTAGCTCTCTAATGACCCTGTAGAGGGCGTTGCGGTGGAGATTGCCCTTGACACAGCGGCACCCGGCCACTGGTACCTTACGCTTGCCTTCTGTCACTTGGAACAGCTGTAGAACATTCGCTTCACCTGATGGAGGAGTATATTACATAATTACTAGCTGACCCCGCAAACATTGTTTGGTCATATATATTAAAACCGCTATTAAAAAATAGGGGTTGGTGATAGAAGGGTGAAAATTATGAATTGAATGTATTTTTATGCCACAATATAAAAAGATAAAAATTTTGTTCAAACAATAAAAAATAAAATTTTAGGGGTGGACAATACTTATTACTTAAGGGTATGAAAAATAGAAAGTAGCCGACTCTCAGACCTACTAAATATGCATATAAAATTTTATAATCCGTCTGGCCGTTTTGAAGAAGTATGGTTAATTAACACTGTGATACGAGAATTTTTTAGATTATGATACACATTATTATAAAAAATATTATTACACTCTAAAACTAATTTAGACGTGACCATACCCAGTGATTCCTCCTCCTGCCGCTTCGGTATCCTGGCGCTGATCTCCTCCTTAACATCATCCACCAGTTTGTATATAATGTTGTACTTCTTCACCGCTATGTCTTTCTTCTTAGCGGTAACGGCGAGTGGGGGTGGACAGTCCACGTTGAATGCGTATATAACAGCGTTGAATGCTTCCGCTATCTATACAGAAGACAGGAAGAAGGAAGGAAAGAAGAAAATAGAAGGCAGGAAAAAGGAAGAGAAGGAAGGAAAGGAGGAAGAAATAATTTATTTAGCGTCACAAACAATATAAAGTTCATAAAAAAATAATTAACCATTTGTGAGGACAGGCGATTGTTAGAAAAAAGAAAAATATATTTTATCGAATTAGATGTTATTTTGCGGAAGTCCATTAAGTAAAAAGTAAAATATGAATTTCAATCTAATCGAAAAATTAGAATATGCCAATGGCATTCTGTATACTCTACATAACCTTAAGGTTTCCGGGAAAGGATTGTTAGTAATGGAATAATAACACAATTGCTAACAATGTACCATGTCAGCGGTTTCCCGCGGTTTCCCCTGGAAACCATCACGGTAAATTGTCATTTGCCAAGATGGGCTAACTGATCTGACCTCATGCTCATCTTATAATCCTCCATTGGTACCCCGCCAGCGTATACCGTTAGTGAAAACGGGTGCACTATTACAATAATAAAAAATCTTTAAGGTATCTGGCGTAAAGATAACATTTACCTCTAAATCATTGGGTGTCACCGGCCCAACACCGTAATGGATGAGGTCCAGTCTAACCTGGTCGTGTTCATCATACGTCTCCAAGATGTCCAGGATAGCTTCCACTGATCCGTCCACATCACCTAAAACATTTATATGATTACCACCGTTATTCAAATACTAGTAGTCCGCCCCGACATTGTTCAAGTGTTCATAACTTTTTTATATTTGCGACATACTGAGTGAAAAAAAAAAATAGAGTTGTGATTATTAATTATGAGTAATGCCATCGTTTGCGAAAATTTAAATGTTAACATAACCGTCATTAACCGTTGACGTTTTGTTTCTAACCAACTGTAATTTATATTAAAAAAAAACTTTTGGGCCACACATTCATATAACCGTGCCTGAACATATATATATTGTAACATAGTATATAGCCTAGGCGTACGTGGACTAAATAGGCGATGTATTAAAAGTGCCAAATTAAAACGTTGTTGTGTAAAATTAAAACGAGTGGATAAAAAACTAAATAGGCGATAAGTTTATTTGAAAAAGTGCCAAATTAAAAGTACCCAGAACCTGTGAACTTATATGAATAGGTTGACGAATATAGAGAAAGCAAAAGAGATAGGTATTCATTGAAGATTTGGCGTTCTTTAATCTCTGTATAAATTATATCTCAAGAGGAGATAGATGTGACGATAAGTACATATGCATATATAGACAATATACCACTTTGAAATAACGTATTCTTCATATAGGGAAAGAATTTGTGAAATATGCAATTACTCCAGACATTATTTACTTCGTTACACATTGAATGCCTAAATAACAGCATTCAATGTTTCCGTTATAGAATAGAATAGAAATTTTTTTATTCAAATAATCTTGAATATAAGCTAGTATAGTACTTTTGAATAGTCATATTTTTTATAATCTCCCGTCATCTAAATATATATAACTCAAAGGTCAAACCACCGGACGGATCGGGCTGAAATTTGGCATGCAGGTAGATGTTATAACGTAGGCATCCGCTAAGAATGAATTTTGATTAAATCTACCCCTAAGGGGATAAAATAGGGGATGTAAGTTTGTATGAAACTTTGTCAATTTTAAACCGATCGGGCTGAGACTTTGCATGCATAAAGCTACTATGACGTAGGCATCCCCTAAGAAAGGATTTTGATAAATTCCACTCCTAAGGGGATAAATTAACGCGAGCGAAGCCGCGGGCAAAAGCTAGTTCATTTATAATTCTTAATAACTATACAAACGCACCTTTGACCAGTACATTAAGCGTGGGATGGTCGTCGTACTGTATCATCTTCTGCCTGGGCCCGTCCGGCTTTAGTTTGTAGCGTCCCATTGCTCTCTTGCGGGACAACGTGGCCTTGTACTGTTCTCTGTGGGCCGCCTCCTTCACTTCGATGGCGGCTCGGTCCATTTCCTGTTTCTCCTTCATGCGTTGGTTGTGGCGCCATTTTAACACTTCACTGGCGCGTTTCTGATGAGAATTATGATTAAAACATTATAAAATATATGTATATGTGTAAATAATACATGAATTTTATATAGAATGGTAATTAATATATTATATGTAATTTATATATATACTATTGACTAGCTACCCGCCCCGGCTGCGTAAGGGTGTATGTGTATTATACATATAAAACTTCCTTTTTTAATATACTATCTATTGATAAAAACTGCTTTAAAATCCATTGCGTAGTTTAAAAGATCTATGCGAACACACAGCGGCAGGGACTTCATTTTATACTATGTAAAAAGTATCTATACATTTATAGTACACATAACACAAACATTGCTTATTTTGGCACTAGATGGCGCTGTGTGAATGGTCGTTATATACTTAATTTTTGTAGAAAAACTAACTTAGAATTCATAGTGCTGACTATACTGTCAACACTATGAATTCTAAGTTAGTTTTTCTACAAAAAGTTCTATTCTAAGTAAGTTTTTCTACAAAAACATTACTATCATTTATAAACTATACTTTAGTTAAAATGATAGTAATGTTTTTGTTAGATATAAAGGAATTAGACCTCGGAATTGACACCTGGTCTCCCGCAGACGGCAGCTCGCGCCACCCGACCACCGACACGGGCGTGGCCGGCGGCGCCTCCAGCACTGTTCGACCCTCTGCGTTGTTTAACACTCGCACCTACGTGTAACAGTCACCATCGTAGTCACCGCCAGTTACACTCTCACGTATAAAGATTAATATTATAAACGTAAGTTCGTGAGTATGGATGGATGTTTGCTACTCTTTCACGCAAAAATCTACTGAACGGATTTTGATGAAACTTTACAGTAATATAGCTTATACATCAGACTAACACATAGGCTGTCAATTTCAAGCGGGTTAAACCGCGGGCACAGCTAGTGAATTACTAAATCGAATTATTGTCATTGGTCATGACGTCATTTAATTGTTATGTATGTATTTATAAAAAAACTATCAAAGTATAGTAGATATTAGTTGTCTAGTACTCATAACACAAACTCTGCTTACCGTGGGACTAGATGGCGCTATGTTAATTGTCCATGGTTATTTATTATTATTATTAATTATCATTGCAAAATGGCCGACATCTAACTATGAAGCAATGACATAGTTATTGATAATTTATAAACCTTAAGCATGTCTTTGGAAAATAAAATCATTTTCATAAAAAATGAAATTTTAGATCAAAATGAAATAACATGAAAAATACGCACAATAAAATCAAATCAAAAGTAATTATTCATGTAGAACACTTCAGCCGCTTATAAACGTAAACAATTTTGTATTAATATTTTTCCCTACCGTCCAGTTCCGTATACAGGTTCAATTGAGAAGAACTGGCAAGAAACTCTACTTAATTTTTTTTATCACATTTATTTATTTATATATATTTATTCCTGATCGCGCTAAAGATCGTGTCATCTAAAGGCAGTTATTAATTGTTTATACTTAACGCAAAATTTTAGAGTAGCTAAAATTAAACCGTATTACTACATCAATAAGTCTTACCTTGGCCCATCCGGAGCCCGCTACGATCACGCATCCTCGTCGCAATGTTCCACGTTGCACCAGTACCGTAGCTTGTTTCCTAAAAGAAGCGTAAAAAGCGCTTAAGTAAAATTTTCATGACGGCATTATGATGTAGCGATCTAAGTCACTGCTACGCTTTATGGATGCGGCTTCAATCTTTTCACAATACATACATTTGTACCGATGAGTATTTTTGAATAGTTCTGGGTCTGGTTCTATGTGTATTATCTTATATATAAAATTCTCGTGTCACAGTTTTCGTTCCCATACTCCTCCGAAACGGCTTGACCGATTCTTATGAAATTTTATGAGCGTATTGAGTAGGTCTGAGAATCGGCCAACATCTATTTTTCATCCCCCTAAATGTTAGGGGTAGTCCACCCCTAATTTTTTTTTTTATTTTAAGGCAAAACAACGTTTGCCGGGACAGCTAGTCTACTTATAAAAACTAGTAATAAAATCCTATACCAGGCTTAATCAACATAGTAATAGTATGCTAATATTTTTCCGTATGAGAACCCATGTCTTGCAAAAGATATTAAGGGTTTGTTATGAGGGAGAGGTAGCTGTTGTTAGCCATATACACTTGATCCTATTGTTAACAATACACCATATAATATAGGTAATCATATACTATCAGAATACCATAAAGAATAATTCCCAGTAAATTGACTATAATAGATTAAGCGAGTTGAATCTTTTAATCGACCATTCTCTCCTATGTGATGTCCACCATTATGTCCTATTATGCCATTACGTCCTAGTACAATATATGCTGACGACCTCGGTGGTCTAGCGAGTTAGCATACTTAGTTCCGATTGTCATGAATTCCATTCCTTACACGATACGAATATTTGTATTCATGAGTATGACTGTTTACATTGGTCTGGGTGTTTCCCATGTATATTGTGTATGTATTTACAAAAAAATATTTAAGTAATTGTATCAGTCGTCCAGTAAACGATACATAAGTTCTGCTTAGCTCCCTTCTAGTCTCAGATACCGTTGTGCGTATTGTCCAGAAAAAAAAATTACAGCTTACGGAGACTTGCCATAACAACGTAGCTATATTCTCGAACAGCAATAGCTACTCTTTATTACCAGACTACAGGTAGCCTATATGTTATCTATTCAGTCTTTAAAATTAATAAATACTATGGTTTTGGGTGACCAAGCTGAGCAAGTAGGGTATTGATGACGCTGTGAATTGTCCTAATTTATTATTACGACTTGCCGAGGTTCCCTCACGAGACTGCAGTATAGGGTTTTTGAAGAAGGGTATATTAAGGTTTCTTAAGGGTCGGCAACGCGCACGTGACACCCCTGGTGTCTCAGGCGACCATTGGCTACGATGACCATTTATTATCAGATAGATCATATAACGTTTGCCACCTTCGTATTTAAAAAAAAATAACAGTGAAATAGAAATAGAAATAATCTTTAATCAAATAAACTTAATACAGGCACTTTTCGAATAGTCATATTTTTATTTTACCACTCATTTGGGACGCAAACTTATCACAAGAAGAATGAACAAGAAATTTGTGTGTTGCTCTTTTGAATAGATGTTTTTAAATAAATAATAATAAAACAACAGGTAAGAGTCATGCGATAATCAACATAGAAACCGCTACGCAGTCATTCTTAGTGCAATCAGTGGCGACCACCATTCTATCATCCACAAAAAGCTTATATGTCTTACCCAGTACGAGGATCAAGTTGCGCCTCTATGACGACTCCCTCCACCAGCCCCCCTGGATCCGCCTTGAGGTCCATGAGCTGCGCCTGCAACGTGAGCGCCTCTACCAAGGTGTTGAGGTTCTGTTTCTTAAGCGCCGATATTGGTATCGCCTGCACATCCCCTCCCAACTCCTCGCAGATGACGCCGTGTTGTGCTAGCGCGCGTAATATGCGTTCCTGATGGTGACAATTATTTGTCTTATTATGGTCTAAAACAAAGTCGCTGTGGCTGTCTTACCCTATATATGCCTAAATCTTTAAAATTACGCAACGAATTTTCAAGCGTTTTTTTAAATAGATAGAGTGATTCAAGAGGTAAATGAGGTATATATAATGATATATTTTATGTACTAAGACGTTTATATTTTTGTTCCTCTATACATATAAATAAAGTTGGAGTGTCTGTATGTAATATTGAAATAACCGTTTTTTACTACATACATGTGAATATAAATACGGTACATACACCGAAATGACTATTTTTACAATTTTTGTCTGTCTGTCTGTTTGTTCCGGCTAATCTCTAAAATAGCTGGACGGATTTTGACGGGTCTTTTTTGGCCGGTAGCTGATGCAATAAGGAGTAACTTAGGCTGCTTTTATTTTAGAAAAATAAAGTTAAAATCAGCAGGTACAGCTAATAATAATGTAAAATTGAAGCATACCTACAATGTTTACACCTGGCTTGTCGATCTTGTTGATCGCCACTAATATAGGGACTGAAACAAAAAAAAAACAATAATAACATTTCTGAACTACTCACACAACATTATCTAGTTAACTAAGCAGAGCTTGCGTTATGGGTACTAGATTAATTAAAACTCTCTTCTCTGGTGTCCGCCATTATATCCCATTAGCTGTACCCGCGATTTCATCCGCGTGAAACTTATAGCCTATATGTTATTCTGATGTAGGTATAAGCTGTACTACTGTAACGTTTCATCAATATCTGTTCAGTAGTTCGTGAAAGAGTAACAAACATCCATCCATACCCACAAACTTTCGTGTTTATAATATTATTAAGATTACTAAAGTATATGCCGACGAGCTCGGTAGTGTAGCGGGTTAGCGCACAGCCTTAGTTCCGATTGTTGCAAGTTCCAATCCTTGCACGGTACAAACATTTGTATTCCTGAGTATGGTTGTGTGTATCGGATTGACTGTTTTCTATGTATATTATATATTTACAAAAAAAAATCATCGATGTATATATCTAGTTATCTAGTCATAACCTGTGCTTAGCTTGGGACTAGATGGCGCTGTGTGAATTGTCCAGGGTTATAGTGCTATAAAAAAGCCGGTATTGTCTCTGGTGAAAAGCAGTTAAGTAGATCATTACTGATCCTGATTTCCCTGGCCATCGTTATGGACTCGAGGGTCTGATCGTTTGTATCAGTCTTAGTATGTATATTATATATTAACAAATAATATATGTATTTATTAAGAAGATATATGAGTATTTATGTCAATTGTCTAATATCCATAATATAAGCTATGCTTAGTTTGCGATTATATAGCTCTGTGAATTGTCCAGGGTTGTTAAAGTGGTATAAATAAACCGGTATGTCGCTGGTGAGTAACATATTAGTTAATCAGCTCTGACCATCAGCAGTGGTGTATATTATCGCTGTTGAGTAACAGTTGAGTAGATCATCACTGACCTTCGGCCTCCCTGGCCATCCGTATGGACTCGAGGGTCTGCTCCATGACGCCGTCGTCTGCGGCCACCACCAGCACCACGACGTCTGTGGCGAGCGCGCCGCGCGACCTCATGGCGGTGAAGGCCGCGTGGCCCGGCGTGTCCAGGAACGTCACCTTCTCACCGCCCGGTAATTGCACTGATCACAAAACAAACTATATTGTACCTTACATCTATATACGTGAAACAATATCTTTCTACCCCTTTTTACGAAGATTGCGCGGGCGGAGGAGTATGAAATATAATTAATATATAAAGTAGACCTACTACTTTATATATTAATTACCCGCATGGAAGTTAACTTTATTTTTGTAAAATAAAAGCTTAGGTTACTCCTTATTACATCAGCTACCTGCCAATAAAAGTCTCGTCAAATTCGGTCCAGCCCTTTCAGAAATTATCCGGAAAAAACAAACAGACAGACAGACAGACGGACTTGTAAAAAATGTTATGTTGGTGTATGTACCGTATTTATATTCATATGCATGTAGTAAGAAACGGTTATTTCAATATTACAAACAGACTCTCCAATTTTATTTATATGTATAGACTTATATTAGGGTTTCTTAAAGCGCACAAATATAGATCGAAGCTGATAAGATGTTTGGCAACATAGGAAATTGTAGTTGACGAGTACACAGCCTCACATAAGACTCAGACTCAGTGTTGGACGGTATTGTGTTTGATACACGCATAGTACAAATATTTGTGTTAATTTATAAGAATTTCTATTGTTAATTCATCAGAATTTCTGTATGTTATTTGTATTGTTAGAAAAAAGAAAGTCAGAGCCCAATCACAATCCATACAACACTATACTAATCACATTTTTCGGCTCTAAAATGAAACCAATTCTAATTATCCAATTTACCGTAGATTTGACTTACATATAGACGACCTAAATCAAATTAGAACTATCTAATATAGGTATCTACACATCTCTCTGCCATACAATGGATCACGGCGAATACATAGAATGTTAAGAAGTTCGTCTCTCTCCTTGTAATAGACCTTCACGGCAGTTCTCCCAAATGTGGTAGTAATAGATATCAAATTTACCTTCAAAAGCACCAATATGTTGCGTGATGCCTCCGAACTCTTGGTCGACGACGGAGGTGTCCCTGAGCGCGTCGAGTAGCGTGGTCTTCCCGTGGTCCACGTGGCCCATCACGCACACCACCGGCGGTCGCGCCCGCAAAGCTTCGGGGGCTGCGGGCGGCGCGGGAACGGCATCTTTGTTCTACGGATACCACACAACAAGCATTAGATCTAACCTAATAGGCAATGAGGGACGATTTCTCCGCTACACTCATCTGACGCAGGACAACAGTTAGGCCTAGAGGCAGGGGCGTGCCCAAATCGGGACTGGGGTGCTCACCTTAAGGAAGGTAGCGCCCCAACTAAATTCCCCAGGGGGCTGCATGGATAGACACTTCCACAGTAGAATAAGGCAGGTAAGGTCACCCTAACAATGAGGTGGGGCTTTGTTCTAGGGATACCAAACAATAAATTACAATTCTACCCACTAGGGCAGAAGGGACAAAAGAGTTTGGCCTAGAGGTAGGAGTGTACTCAACTCCGCCCCACATCTATTTCCCACTAGGCCCAAGATCGCTCAGAGGTAGGCAGCGCTCCAACTAACAGCCCGGAGGCGTATACATGTACCCACACGCTTACACAATTAAGTATGGTGAAATAGGTCGCCCTATCAACGAAATGGGGCCTGCCCTACACCATTTACAGGGCGGACTAGCGCTGCCAGAATCGCTGTAAAATGCTACCGCGTCCTCGCGACTCCGACAATGACGCTCTTAGATCCACCGTGGGTTTTTTAGTGAATAAAAGTCATACTATATGAATACAAATGTTTGCACTGTGCGAGGAATCTGTAACCATCATCATCAGCCTGTAATCATCGAGAACTATATGGGACACAGTCACCATCGTCTCGACCAGCAACATCTTATTATTTACCCGCAACAACTACTACTAGTAAAGTAGTAGTAGTAGTAAGGCGGTGTGCTAAACTGCTAGACCACCAATTTTAGTGACGAGAACTAATAATAAAAACTTTACTAATTTACCTCCTCTTCTTCTATTTCCTGGTCAGGATTTGGTACAATTTTGAATCTGAATCCAGATATTTTAACTATGTCTCTAATTATCTGAGGATTGTATATCACAGTGTTGTTCTTATAATCTGTGTCTGATGTTTTATCTGCGAATTCTAAGGCTTTCAGTACATGATCTGAAAGATATTATAGAGATAATTACTTTATAACTTACTAGCTAACCCAACCATGCATAGCTTTGGCTCTGGAGGTCATATACATACATCACTGAAAACTATCCAACATATACACATGACAATGTATGCTTATATAGAGATAAACTTTGTGACTTTGGACATTCAGGGTAAGCACTTGTATTACCGCAATATTGAAAATTCTTTTATTGTTGGATAGCCCAATTTATCGAGAGCATTATTAATATAGTTAATCCAGTCTTAATAGGTTTTAATAAGGTATATATTTGAAAAAAGGCTTTATAATTACTATCTTTCAAAGTTTCAACCATGTTGAACTAGCCATGCTCACAAGCTGACTGGACATAAGTCAACTGAATTCCAAATATAGTATTAAAATATATGTTTATTTAAAAAACTTACCAATATCTTTGTTGAGTACATTAGCTATATCCTGAACAGTCATGTTGCGCCATATTCCCACCACCTCTGAACCTGCTTTGGGTGAATATCTAATTGCTTTTCTTCCGCCAATTAGGGCTGCCTTTAAGTACCAAATAACAATGTTACAATATTACAGAAAGCTTCTATATATTCTGTAACTTCTATGATATTATGTACTAGCTAGCAACTTCGTGTGCAAGGAATAGTGGTAATTTTAAAAATAGAAGCCAAAGAAAAAGTTCTTCATTTAGTTTTAAAAATGGTGATACATCTCCCCTTTCTTTTCTTATTCTTACAACTCTTTTTTTGTATTAAACAGTAGCCAATGCCTTTTCTCAGGGTCTAGATTATCAGTGCACCTAATTTAATTTAAATCGGTTTAGTTTTGGTGTGAAAGTTAGACGCACACAGACAAACCTAGAACTGACATGAAATAGCTCCTATTCTTAATTATATTACACACACCTGTTCAATGTTGATAATCTCAGTAATTTTCAGTTTATCAAACAAAACCTATCTTTAAAGTAATGCACCACACAGTCTATTTTCAATTTGACATCAACAAAGAATCATTATCATTTACGATGGAACACATACTTGGAAAATAGAATCCTCAAGAAATTGGTATAGGTAAAGAAATCTAAAGTATATGAGAATGGAGTTAATATCAATCAGTCTTCATGAAATCTATGGGTAATAAAGATTAAACAAACAGGTTGTTTAACATTGGGTAAAATTATTATAACTTAAAGTTAAATAAATGCCAGAATAATTTGAGCATATTAGGGATTATAGTATATTTAAAATGTTTTTATTTTAACCAGCCACCCAACCAATGCTGGGTGTACATATATTACTATACATATAAACCCTCCTCTTGAATCACTCTATCTATTTAAAAAAAAATGTTTCAAAATCCATTACATAGTTGTAAACATTTAAGCATACATAGAGACAGACAGTGGCAGTAACTTTGTTTTATACTATGTAATAATGATACAGTAATATTTGTATTACTTTCTTTGTTGTTATTATTTTGTTGCATATACAAATATGCTTGGTGATGATTTGTTTGCATCCTGCAGACAAATCAATTATTTATTTAGTTGTGATACTGCTGTATTCTAGTCATTTTTAAATTTGAGAATTTATATCTTATATACTGAAGGATAAGAAATACATATAATTTTATTTATTCATGCAATACAACTTTCTTTATTATTATTCTATTTATAATATTTTAGTATAAGGATATCTTATTTCCACAGCATAATTAAAGTACAAAATTCTAAATACGGACTAAGACTACATACCTTTTCTTCCTCAGGCCTTCTCTTTTTACATTGGGTAACTGATACTGTTAGGTGTCTGGCTATATTATGATTACTATTTATTTTTTTTAATTCACTTAACTGCGAGAAAAATTCCTTTTTCATATATCTAAAAGGTAACCTGTAGAAATGTAAATAAATATTATTATGATAGTGTGATAATTAACAATTTATTAACAATTCGGCCGCTTTGTTGAAAATGTGATTTATTATTTGTATACAGTTTCGATAAATTACCTTTGTAACATTAAATTTTTGTACATAGTTAGATTTTAACTGTTTTATACGAGTGAAATTAATTTTTAGTTCAAAACATAGTAATAATCATGGAATAAAAATACGCCGACTACAAATAAATGGAATAAGGAAGAAGCAGATGATGACGATAGTCAGTAGGTATCCTTATTGTTATTTATATTTTTACTGAAATACTGACAAAAATAAGAGAACAAAATATGTTAAATAATCTTTCCATTAAGTTGAAATAAACATAACCTTAAAAATGTGACTAAAAGTCTGACATTTAGGCATGACTGTAAATTGACAATGACAGTCGCCGTTATATAATCGGTGGGCCATAAGGATATCAATGGCAATTAACTAGAATCTTGTTCAATTAAAAGGTTATGATTAATTCGTTTTTAATTTACTTTATTTAAGTGGAAAAAGAGAAAATTAAATATATGTAAACATAGATTCTTAGTACAATAGTACTTTTAAATATCGAGCAAATAATCATTATGTTCCAAATTCCATAACCAAAATTCTAATCATAGACAATTTTCAATAAATTTAACTTAAAAAATGAAATCATAGACAATTACTATTTATGTCCGCCATTCATTCTTTTGAGTTGCTTTTTCGTTTTACGATCCTAAAAGACTACAATTTGTCATAGAAATTTACGTTACACCATCGCGTAAATAATTAACCTAAGCAGACTCACTTGGAACAATATCTCGAAAACCGAGGCATCGCAGCCATCAGTGTAACATAGGAGTGACGTGATCCATCCGTGAGATCGTATCATTTTCCAATGATGCTTTTGCTTCCCTTTTACGTTATCGTTGGCGAGATTAGTTTATGTGCCTGATGGTATGGAAACTATGTGTGATTAACAGGTTAAATATTGAAGACTCAGCATGGGGGCGTTTTTAAATAAGCCCGAAACTAAAAAATACAATGAGACCGGGGAAGGGAACGGTCTTCGCTATGGCGTGGCGTCGATGCAAGGTTGGCGAGTGGAGATGGAAGACGCGCATCACGCGCAGCTTACTTTGAATGGTACATTATCGGACTGGTCGTATTTTGCCGTGTTTGACGGGCATGCGGGTGCGCGGGTGTCAGCACATTGCGCGGAGAATCTTTTAGAGTGTATCCTTCAAACGGACGAGTTCCGGCGTGAAGAGATAGCGGAAGCTATCCGCGCCGGGTTTCTCGACTTGGATAAGAAGATGCGGGAGTTGCCGGAGCTGTGCAACGGCGAGGAGAAGTCTGGTTCGACGGCAGTCTGCGCATTCGTGTCGCCGAAGCAGATATATATAGCGAACTGCGGCGACTCCCGAGCGGTGCTGGCTAGAAATGGTGTACCGATTTTCGCAACCCGAGACCATAAACCGGAGTTGCCCTCTGAGAAGTCGCGCATAGTCCAGGCGGGTGGTTCAGTCATGATCCAACGTGTGAACGGTAGCTTAGCTGTGTCTAGGGCACTAGGAGATTATGAGTACAAGAAGGTCCAAGACCGTGGTCCGTGTGAGCAATTAGTATCACCGGAGCCTGAGGTGTCAGTGCATGAACGTTCTGAGGCAGAAGACGAGTTCTTAGTGCTGGCTTGTGATGGAGTGTGGGATGTGATGAGTAACGAGGCATTGTGTGCATATGTACACTCATTACTGCAACTCACAGATGACCTTGTGGCTGTAACAAATCAGGTCATCGACACTTGTCTCTATAAGGTAAGTGATGGTGCCAGATCATATTGCATTCAATTTTTTAGTCATATTCTATGAACCTGTCCTTAGTGCCACAGATATCCATATAGATGTTGCTGTATGGCATTGCAATCACATCCTTAAATTGGTGGTACCTGGTAGTACCTGATTAATTCTCACTAAATATTGATAAAGAGTAGATAAAAACTTACTGAAAGTCTTAAAATTCTTTTATAATCCTTTTTATCTTAAAAATGATTTTAGATGATTTATAAACAATACTACAGATGTTATTTTGTGGAGGAGACAATTGCAATTAGTATATAACTTGTGATAATAATAAACTCTTTTTTTGTGTACATCGAAGAAATATAATAAGGAAACGGTATAAATGTAATAACAACAGGCAGTCTTATCGCTACAAACTATTTTATATAATAGGTAAACATTATACATAACATTATAAACAAATGGTATTCATTACCTTCCTACAGAAGCATGTTGAAGAAACCTTCATTATCATACTTCAAATTAATGAAAATGATATCACATTTGTACCTATGCATTTGTTACCTACTTTATACAATGATGTAAATATGATAATGTACTGTTACAGAACTAAACTACAATGTTGTTTATGTTATATAAACTATATATTATACAACATAGAGTTTAGTTCTCTTGTTGGTGCACTGTTTGAAGTATGCATATGTAATTCAGTACTATTTTTTTTTATGGATGATAATGAAATGGTGTAGCGAGTGCACCATTTCATCCATAAATCCATATCATCCATAAAATCCTACCATTTGGGCAACAGGATGATATGAGCATGATAACAATATTTACAAATTTATCATGATTTAAATGACCTATAAACTAAATATAACATATGTTATACTTAGTTTATAGGTCATTTTTCAATTATAATATATTAACAATCCAACAAATATAAAATAAAATTAACTCTAAAGTTATTAATATTTTTATAAACTACTAGCTGTTCCCGTGACTTTGTCTGTGTGGAATTTAACTTTAATTTTCTATAATAAAAGAAGCCCAAGTTACTCCTTACTACATCAGCTACCTGCCAAAACAAGTTTCGTCAAAATCCAGCCATATCAGAGATTAGCCAGAACCAACAGACAGGCAGACAGACAGACAAAAATTGTAAAAGGTGGCTTTTTGGTGTATGTACCGTATTTATATGCATATGCATGTAGTAAGAAACGGTTATTTCAATATTACAAACTCCAACTCCACTCCAATTATATTTATATGTATAGATGTATAGATTATAATCACAGTCTGAAGAATGATATTAGTTATAAAAAGGAGAGAACTATTCACTTTCATGCATATCTCTATGTTTTAAGAGACCCTAAAATAAGCCTTTTCATCTATAACATTCTTCTCATGTATAGTAAGTATATATGAACATATCATTTCACTTAAATGTCCAATACATTTAGTTCAGTGTATTTGCAGTTTCATGTCTCACTTGCTAATTATTGAAAGGCCACACTGAATGTTGAAAACAAATGTTGCACTGCTTGAAGAAAACTATATTTAATTATGAAATGTATGTTATCAAGTTTGTATATGTACTGTAACTAATATATTTTTACTACAACTTTAGAATTTTATGTGTTTGATGATGAACAGTATTGATTAATAATTTCATTTGGTGTTGCATTGCTAGACATGTCACGCCATATGGAGATCCTTAATAAGTTGTTACATACTTTTTCAAATAAATTAAATATGAATATCACAATATTCATATCTTATATATAAAATTCTTCTGTCACAATGTTAGTTACCATACTGCTCTGAAACGGCTTGACTGATTTTTATGAAATTTTATATGCACATTCAGTAGGTCTGAGAATGAGCTACTATCTATTTTTCATACCCCTAAGTGATAAGTGTTGTCCACCCCTAACATTATTTTTTTATTTTTTTGGGCAAATTTTTTTATTATATGTCATTACTTAAAAGTACTTAACAACCCTAAATTTTCACCCTTCTATTACCAACCGCTATTTTTTTATAGCGTTATTAATTTATATGGCAAAACAACGTTTGCCGGAACAGCCAGTAATTGTATAAAATATAAATTATATAAAAGACGAATTAAACTCGACAGTATTTATCAATTTTTAAAAATAATATATGTTATACAGGTTTAAGTGTTCATCGAAACAGATATCTAAGGTCCCCATTAAAGCATTACTACTGTTATCTATGGTATCATGCAACTTTATTATGGGAAGAATTTCGCATTTATAATATGAATATACGTTTGCCAGATATAGACCAGGTAGCCGTTAACGTAACGTATGTGCCCTAATTAAACGGTATTAAGTATCTCGGAGAGGTAATATCGCCATAGGTAAGTAGTAAGTAGGTAATGTGTATAATTACAGGCTAAAACTGTAAAAGACAGAAAGCAGACAAATCGAAATAAAATGAAGTAATGTGACACTACGGCAATACAATAAGTGTACTTAATATAATTATATTATAAATTATTATTTATTATACATTGCGGTATATTTGTTACGTTCAAGCTATAATTATATAAATATACGGCTCTCACTAAATTGGGAGTCAGGACTATTTGTACACTGATGATGGTTTAAATAAGTATAAACAAGAATTTATTTAGATAGTTATATTTTTTAAATACTAAACTATTATAATTCTACAGGGTAGCAAAGACAACATGAGCATCGTACTGGTGGTGTTCCCAGCGGCGCCTAAACCCAGTGCCGAGGCGCAGCGCGCTGACCGCGAGCTGGACGAGACGCTCCGACAAAGGCTTACAGGTTGCTATCATTCACTATTGCATGCCTGCTCACACAAACATAGGGATAGGTACACAACACAGACGGATAGACGTAATGGCTCGTTAGAAAACAGCCGCGGCGGGACTTATGACGCTCGCGGTTAAGTTCCCATACACAGAGCGATTATTTATCGTAAAGAAGTCCGTATGCGATTAAGTACTGCCGCCGTTTGTGCGACAGAGATGGAAGTATTTATAGGAGGCATAACGTGCTTGTATCAAAAAGATCTTATAAAGATCTATTGATGAAGTCGTATTAGAGATCCTATGTGTATGACGTTAAGGTATCTAATTTTATAACCTTATTTACTCGATTGAATGACTATATCGCTCCGTGTATGGGGAGCTTTAGATTATTATTAATGACCAATCAAGGTATTATATAAGTACCAAATTCAGTAGGCAAAATTTTTGATACCACCTTACAAACTCTTACATACTTCTACAATTAAAAAGCGTATATTCCGGTTTCAGTGGTAATACGTAATCTATCTTTCTAAGTCTTTTACCTAATTGGTAATACATGAATCTTTAGTGCAATGTGCTGTTTTTTTTATACTTGGCACGTTTAGTAAACAATATAGCTATTTTAATAATTTGTTATATTTATATTGTACTATAATTTTATGTTAAGCAAAATCATCATTATCTGCTTCTTTCTTATCCTATTCGATTGGGGTCGGCGTAATATATTTTTCTCTTCCATTCATCCCTGTTCGCAGTCATCTCGTTATTCACTCCCTTTCTTGCCATAACATCTTTCACACAGTCCATCCATCTCTTATTCGGCCTTCCTCTGCTTTTATAAACATCATATTCATATGTAATACTTTCTATTATAAGCAAACTGTAGGTGTTGTATTACGGTATAGTGTACAGAAATGCATGAAAGTGTCTTTGTTTGTCAAACTTTGAACGTCTTCAATAAGCAGAAAACAATAATTAATCTTTTATTCTTGTTAAAAGTTAATTTTATACAATGTTATATAGATAAGATATACCAAGCTTGTTTATTGTATGTGCCAAGTATAGAGAAACGGATTAAGGAGTACATTGTATGTAGTATGAACTCATCATGATGTGATGACCATAGTTTACTTATATTTATAAAGTAGGTACACTGGATGTACTGTGATATATATATTTTTATCATAAACAATTGATTGTGGCTGTCTTCAGAATTTCAGAATTTTCTGAATTCTTATTATTATAATTTAAAATGAATGAATATGAATAAATTATGAAAATTTATTATTATTATAATTAATAAATTTTCAGGATTTATTAAGTAGTAGTACTACTTTAGAAAATGCATAAAAACCTTACCTCTGTCCTTTATTAGTCGTTAAACCCAGTTTTAACTAGTCGTCTTCCATATAATATAGTGACCGTCTATTTTGTATCCTATTATAATTGTCTTCATAAAAATACAAGGTTAACTATGGAAAGTGTAGGTATACTAATTCGAAAAACAATTTAGATATATTAACAACTTTGATTAAATAACCAACTTAACAACTACTTGATTCGAAATTGCATGATGCATTTGACTGCTGACAGTTCGACAGAAAATATTTATGACCTATTAACCGGCCGTATTATACGAGTGGAGCGCTTTTTTTTAAATATTATATAATGCTATAATAATCTTCAGTCTACTGCTGGACATAGGCCTCTCCCAAGGCACGATCTTCAGCCCTTCTTTTCCTGTTAATACCCGCCACACACAAAATTTTGTCCAGCCGTTTAGGTGGTAGGTAGTTAGGTGAGAAACACACGTGTAGAAGAGTTATGTATGTATATTAATATTTAATATTTCAGCCTAGCTCCTTTTAAATGTAACATAATGTCCGTGCATTGTAGTATGTACTGACACGTCTGCTTTTAGTACGAATATGAAATTTAAATTAATTCCAGAATTCTATCAATATTTAATGCCTTACAGTTAGTCTTTAAGACATTGTCTCCAGTTTGTCTCCTTATAATTTTTTTGTACTTGCTTATTGACCACCAGGTTTTTCAAATATTTTTTCAGTGTATATATATACACACTATCAAAATGTCATATTATAAATATTATTAATATTGATTTGTAATGTAAATCATTGTGCTGTTAATACAAGATTGATTACTATGAATTCCAGTAATAATTAATAATATTCTTGTTTAATAATTCTGTCAAACTTGAGCTCTCAAATCCAATCAATATACAGATATTTAAATAAAAATAAGCATACAATTGGTTACCACTCCCATTTCTTTTCGTGTCATTATATAATATTATATAATGTAATTATATGCGGAATTGTGTAAACAAAACATATCTATATAAAACAATGACACATTCCAAATCAAGTACATATTTTAACAATAAGTCTTTACAATAATCTTTAATAAAATATATTACAGACTCTTATAATATATCAAAGTTACCGTCAGGGAGAGTTAAATAAGATAGGAAAAAAATAACAATATAGATTCTATAGGCTTAATAGTAATATATTTTTTAAATGGAAATAAAATATCAATTAGTATATTTTTTTGTACTCATAATGAGATTACTGACAATACCAAGTTCATATACTATTAAAAAAAATATTTCAATGTTAGACCAAACTCATTCATAATTTTCATTACGTTTTCAGTTTGTAAAATGTATTAGCATAACAAATTCTCTACTACACTTGTGTACATTATTTGTCAAGGTGAAATTTTCTGTCTGTATTAATATGAAATTCTTGTACTTTGATACAAATCAGCAATTGTGAATTGGGTATTCTGAATGTGAGGAAGAATTGGGTATCTATTACTATGTACAGTATATATAATATTCAGTCAACAGCATAATGATATTTATCGGATACTATACCATTTTTTTTTATGGGTGATAATGGAATGGAGCACCCGCCTGCGCTAATGGTTTACGCTGGCGGGGCACCAGTGGAGGATGATAAGATGAGCATGAGGTCAGGTCTGTTAGCCCATCGTGACAAATTCACCAAGAATTTATCACGATGGTTTCCAGGGGGAACCGCGTGGAGGGCAACCTGACATGGTACATTGCTAGCAATGGGATCATTAGTACACATTACTAACAATCCCTTTCTCCCGTACTATACCATATTTAAAAAAAAATATATTAATATTTATTTTAACTATAACATTAATATGTTTTAATTATTTGATTGTATTTGGGTCGGTACCTTATGATTAGTGAACCTAAAATAAATCCCAGAGCTAATTTGTTCATTCCAAATTGAACAGTACAGCTGATTCTGAACAAATTGATTTCAATGATTACATTATTTCTATAATGTTGTACTTAAAAATAACATTATAAATGTATATTTGTATTTAAAACAGTAAGTACAAAATTGTTAAGTATTTCAATTAAAATTACAATATAATATTAATAAGTCTAATTCCACATCACCAAATTACTTCCCCTTGTTACCAGCTTTATTATGTATAAATTTTTATTATTAAAAGAGACATAAAATACCTCCCAGTTATCATTTTTCGTATATTAATATGATCATAAATATAGAATTAAAACCAATACTACTTACAATATAATGTAACTTTGTTAATATTAATACTAGTCGAATTTTCACATTCTCTTCCCTTATCGTTCTCTGTTAACCACAATCTACACGATATTATACCCTAAATGCAAATAAAATTCACATTGAAAAAACCAGCAGCATATCGATAGTATTAAAAAATTGGATATTAATTGTGATTCTTAAATATCTACTCAAAATCAACATAGAATTAGGAAAGACAGAACAAGAAAATATAATCAAATAGGCAATATATTTTTTTAATTTGACTTAATATTATATTTATACAGAGTTATAAAAAAAAGTGTGTGAAAATAACCTCATAAAATATAAAGTCAGAATATATATATGTATATAGTCTCGACTGTAATCTTAGATGGACTAGTGAGAGAGAGAGCTACCTAAATTAAAATAAATAGACGTACTCATGAATATAAATTGTTTAAATTATGTTGTAACGAAACTCTCGACCATAGGAAGTTAAGTCAGTCCGCTATACTGCTGCATTTCGGGTTGTCATACTAAAGTTATCCCCTCCGATCGATCCCCCATCCAAATTCAAACGGGATCGAAATTACGACGACCACTTGCAACTCCTAGCAATGCCCTCAGGCAGGAGTTGGTCTTCAGCCGCTCCATAAGTCTTTCCGCGGGTTTGGAGTGCCATCTGCACTCCTGCCATCTTTCAGTGAAGTTGTAAAGGCCATCTGCGGCCAACTGCATTGGAATAGTAAAAAAAACTGTGTGAAATTTATTATACTTACAATTTAAATAACACTGACCCGCACTACTTCATCTGAGTTTGTCATTGCAGCTCCACTATCATTGATCGTAGCGTGATGTTATATAGCTTATGTTCTTCCTCTATAAATAGTATATTAAGAGCTGAAAGAATTTTTAAATCCGACCTAGTAGTTCCTGAGATTTTCGCGTTAAAAATCAGCTTTATAATATTCTACTATACTCATCGTATATATTGCCCCATACAAAGTCGGGGTGAGCAACTCATTATCTATACTATGTAGATATACAAACTTACATAAAATCTTAACGCATTATAAATCCTAAGTCTTGGGAATTACTCTATTGATAGGCAAAAACCGCATGAACCGCGTTCAGTAGTTTTTTAGATCATTGCTAACATACAGGAATTCGTTTTATAGTATGTATAGAATATGAAATTATTAATGCTTATATTATTACACTCCTAATTATTTTGTTTATTATTAATTTACATAATTCTAAAATGTCTAATTAATAGAAGTGGTTTTTATAGGATTTTCCCATATTAACTACAATGGAATTTAGAATCGACAATACATGAACTGAATAAATACTTAAATGGTTAAAAATATAAAGGTGACGTAATATTTATTATTGTCAATGATAAGTCGATCACTGTACGTATCATCCACTG